TCGAGTTGCAACCAGAGTCACAGAACAGATTAAGTTCGTAACTAGAGGTACCACTGTACTTTTAATGGTAATTTACTCTGAGTTGCAATCAAGACAAAATATTCATCAGAAGACAGACCATTGAATGCCTCCTAAGTCTGTGATCCTTTGATTGATTGGCTGTTGCCCTAATGCTCTTATTGATAGAGTTGCCTAGTCCGGAGGAATGTGTTGAGCATGCACAGGGTATCCAAAGCCAGTAGATTGAATGATTTGTAAAATTTCAGAGAAGCAGGTCTCCTTGTTATTTGAATAATAGAATCCTAAAACGCTGTTTGAACTGTAATTCAGAGAAAGAAAGAAAAAATCCCTGCAAACACTAATTTGCTTCCAAATACAAATTCAAAAATACTGTTTAAACAGAGTTTCCAGTTTTCTTTTGGACACAAACTGTTTTACTCTAGTTGTACTGTCCCCAATTCAAACATGTGATTCCAGCAAATGAATGCTTTAGAAGTATAGAAGAGCAAGGTCTGAAGTCTACCTCCAACTTTATATCTTTCTGTGAATTTCTTTTTAAGGCATTCACTACCACTGCAAGCAGATTGTAGCAAACTAAATGTCTTTAGTAATCCTGAAGTTTGTTTAGTTTATATGCAAATAGTAGTTTCAAAACTGTAGTTAAACATTTCTGTAGATTCCCTTCCTTCCTTCTCTGGACTACTGATGCTGGTAAGGTAAGGAAAGGAAAGGAACACAGTCTTTTGAAAGAGGCAGTATGGGAGAAGGAAGATTGGTCCCAAGTGAACAGTGTAACTCAGCAACATTGACTGCTTATGTAATATAGGCTGGCTTAAAAGCCAGCTAATATTAGATTAACTACTATAAGAATATATAGATTGTTACTGAACAGCAAAAGTTTTCAAGCAAAGAATTGTCCTTTCTATTACTGTTATAAAGCAATTTATTAACTGAATAATGTCTTCTTTTAAAACCACAGAATGGTATACAATGCCAAGAAAGCATAGGTAAGAAAGTTTTTTGAAACTTCCATAATATCTCTGTCTTACAGTGTGAAAAAAATTGACCTTTAATTGTAATGCATAAAAGAAAAGCTTGCTTCAAGATTTAGACAATAACTTGGTTAGCAAATGTAGCAGTAAAATTGTGACAAGAGAGAAACCAGAGATAGAATAAAGGAATTTGTATAACTATGTACAAAATGTAATAATTCTTTTTATGCTTATGATACTTATCCTTAATAAGTATAAGTTAATTTTAAGAATGGTCATGTGTAGATTTCACAACATTTACTTTGAAAGCTAGCTATCTATGCAAATCCTTTCATCAGAAGATATTGGTATTTGCTTTTAATGGCCTTGAAAATTCTTGAGATTTGGTTGGTGACAGAAGAAATGTTGCTAAATTAATTGCATAAGAGCTTGAGACTTTCCTGGTGCATACTTCATTGCTTGGTGCCATGTGATCCTGAACTAGTGCTGCTGAACTAGGATTCCTAATTTATTTAATTGCCCATAATAATTGATGGAACCATTCAACCTCTTCTGCTTTGTATATATGTAATCTGGAATTCCTTTATCCAAAGATAAAGCATCAGTAAATTAAGTAACAAAATACAGACCATTGTTCCATATACAGCTAAACTGCACTCTGTGTTGTCCACAACAATTTCTAGGATTTCCCCTTCATTCAGTTACCAGGATGATAGTAACATTACATCAAAATATTGGCACTTTTGGCTATATGTGTAAATCAAAGTCAAATTGCCTTTGAATTGAGCTCATCTGCTAAACTAGAGATAATAATAAATGGAGAGTTTATTTATGTGATATTTTTAAACAGATGTATATGCTGCCCAGTCTTGAATACTTCTAGATTCTTTACCCACGTATAACAATATAACACAGTAATATGATCCAGTCTCCCATTTAAGCTACACAGTCATCACCCTTTTTATACAAAATGTAAGAGGCTTGGATGAACAGGTATATTTTGAACTTAGTTCTAAATGTAAGAAGGAATACTGTATGTTTATGGAGAAAATAAGTATCTGATTTGTATGCATAAACTGGCTTTATGTGCCATTGAAGACGAAATTTTATTTTCAGATGTGCATGTCTAATAAAAATTTATCTTTTTAATTAAGTACAAAAGCAGAACTCTGATTTTGAAGAAGGCTATTCTGATGATCAGGTATGATCTGCCAGTAGTTTAGGAGCAGACGTGGAACCCCTTTTCTTCAGCTGCAAGTTTATGCATCTCCTCATCT